CCTGAAGGGTTATGACATGATAGGCCTAGAACATACTGGATTAAGCAAAGAACATAGACAAAGTCCCTGCCCTCATGGGAGGATAAATGGCTACATATAAATTATAATAATAAAAATAGCCATGATGAGTGTTATAAAAAATAATATAGTATAACTGTAAGAAAAATGAGGCGAGAGGCCTTTATTTAATAGATCAACCATTAAGAGAAAGCCTCTCCCATGAGGGGTGGCAACTGATCTGAGACCAGAAGGAAATGAGGAACAAAGTATTGGACTACATGGGCAAGATCGCTGTCGGCAGAAAAAACAGAAAGTTGGCACGTACAGCTAAGTTGAGTCAGAGAAAGGAAGAGTGGCACAGGAAATGAATGAAAGAGTTGCTGGAGCCAGATAAGAGCTCTGCAGGCCATGGTAAGAACTTTGGATTTTATTGTCAAGTGAGAAAGAAGGTCACTGCGGGTTCAGAGCAGGTAAGAAGACACTGGACTCCTCTGGCTGCTGCCTGGAGAGCAGGCTTCACGGCAACAGTGAGAGTAGAGGTTTGGGAAAACTTCTGGGAAAGAAATATGATGGCAAGGAGAAGAGGGTGGACTCTGGTCACAAAAATGAAAGAGGAATAAACAGAACTTCTGGTAAGATTGCAAGTGGGGTGGGTATAAGAAGAGTAATCAAAATGACTCCTAGGTTTCTGGCCTAACCAACAAGGCAAATATACTATTGGCATATTAGTTTTAGGAAAATTACAAGCTTTTAAGATAATTACAAGATGATTAATTAGACAATTAAATAATTATTCAGTTGTTTAAGTAGGCTTTGTTGACAATTTGAGGTATATTAATACAATGGATTCTACACAGTAATAAAAAACATACATATAACAACATGGATGAATCTCAGAACTGTTTAGTGGAATGAAAACTGACAAATTCTTAAACTTTGTAGAAATGAAATCATATAGTACTCATTTGTGTCAGACTGCAGAGTAATATATGATTTCATTTCTATAAAGTTTAAGAGAGCAAAACGAATGTATAATGATAAAGTTAGAATACTAGTTATCTTTTGGGATGTATAAACTGGGAAAGAGAACAAAGGAAAAAATCTGGTGATGACTATGCACAGGTGTATACATTTGAAAATAAAAAACCATCATGGGGCTCACTTTAGCATTGTATATACTAAAATTGGATGATGCAGAGAGGATTAGCATGGACTCTGCACAAGAATGATCGTGCGCAATGTGTGAAGCATTCCATATTTTTATGTACTGTTAAATCTCTCTCT